GGGCTCAGGGAGGTGCAGGGGGTCTCAGGGAGGTGCAGGGGGTCTCAGGGAGGTGCAGAGGGCTCAGGGAGGTGCAGGGGGGCTCACAGAGGTGCTGGGGGGCTCAGGAAGGTGCAGAGGGCTCAGGGAGGTGCAAGGGGGCTCTGGGGGCGCAGGGCTCTGCGGCTACCTGGTAGTTCATGATGGCCCGCAGGCACATGATGCAGAGGTGCACGTCGTCCTTCTGGCTCACGAGGCGCGCGTTCTTGAGCGCCTTGCGGCTGGGCAGCGTCCCGGAGCTGCGGAGGGGAGCGGGGCTGTGAGCGCGGGCACGCGGGCGCCCGCGGGCACCGAGGCCGCGCCACCTCCCCCGCCCGCGGCGGGGCCCAGGCGTCCGGGACGGGGGCGACGCGACGGGGCAGAGGCAGAAAGAAGCGGCCGAGCGCGGAGGGACAGAGAGGCCGAGGAGGAGGCTGCGGGCGCGGGGCCGCCAGCGCCCCTACTTACCCGGGCGAGCGGTGAGGCGGGCGCAGGGGACAGAGAGAGAGAGCGCAGCCAGAGAGCCGAGCGGGCGCCAGGCCCTGCAAGCGAGAGGCGGGCGCGTTAACGGGCGCCAGGGCCGGCGGGGAGCGGGAGCAGCGCGGCCGCGGCAGAGCAGGGCACCGGCGCGGGCACGGCATGCACGGCGGGCACGGCACGCGGCGCGGATGGCACGGCACGCGGCGGTGCGTGGAGCTGCGTGGGGTGGCACGTAGGATGGTGCATGGAACTGCATGGGCTGGTGCATGTAGCTGCGTGGGGTGGTATGTGGAGTTGCATGGGATGGCATGCAGAGCTGTGTGGGCTGGCATGGGGATGGTGCATGGAGTTGCATGGGGATGGTGCATGGAGTTGCATGGAATGATGCATCGGATGGTGCATGGGGTGATGCCTAGATCCTGTAAGGTGCATGAAGCTGCATGGATCGGTGCATGGAGCTGCGTGGGGTGGTGCTTGGGTGGTGCATGGAGCTGCATGGAATGATGCATAGGATGGTGCATGGAGCTGCATGGAATGATGTCTAGATCCTGTGTGGTGCATGAAGCTTCATGGGTCGGTGCATGGAGCTGCATGGGATGATGCGTGCATGGCCCATGGAGTTGCATGGAGCAGCACAGCACAGGTGATGATGGTGCAGACACAGGGCATGGTGCAGAGGGCACTCAGGGCACTGCGGTGCCAGTGACACAGCCCTGGGACATGGCAGGGTGCACAGCGCGGGGCAGAGGGCACCGCGCTGCTGGTGGCACACACGGGGGGTTGATGCAGAGCCCAGGCCATGAGCAGGATGGTGCGCAGCTCGGCATGCACCACAGTGCAGGTGGCACGAGTGGGTTAGCATGGGCTGGCACACGTCAGGGCGCGGAGGGCGCAGAGAGTGGGGCACACACTGGGCAGCATTGAGCACGGTGCAGCGCATGGCACGGAGTATGCTGCAAGCAGGAGCGGGGATAGCTCACAGCAGGGTGCAGATGGCGTGCAGGGCACAGCGCAGAGCACAAGCAGCACAGGGCATGGAGCAGTGCAACTGTGGGCAGGCCATGCACCATGCAGCACGGACAGGAGGTTGCACAGTGTTGCACGGACACGGACAGGAGGTTGCACAGTGCAGCACGGCGCACGCGGCACAGCATGCAAGGTTGCATGGTGCAGCTTGCAGCGTGGCATGCAGGGCATGCCGTGCCCTGCAGGCAGGGTGGCGCATGGAGCAGCACACAGCATGGTGCATGGCCAAGCTTGCAGCAGGGAGCACATGGCATGCAGGGCACTGCATGCACAGCAGGTAGGATGGTGCAGAGTGCAGCTTGCAGCATAGTGCAGATGGCACACAGGGCACAGCACTGCAGGCAGGATGGTGCATCTCACACCAGAGGCAGGACGGTGCATGGCAGAGCTCGCAGCAGGGCGCAGAGGGCACACAGGGCATGCACCATGAGCATGCACCATGACAGAGCTCACAGCAGGATGCAGAGGGCACACAGGGCATGCACCATGAGCATGCATCATGGTAGAGCTTGCAGCAGGGCGCAGATGGCACACAGGGCATGCACCATGAGTAGGACGGTGCATGGCAGCGCTTGCAGCAGGATGGAGAGGGCACACAGGGCATGCACCACGAGCATGCACCATGGCAGAGCTTGCAGCAGGACGCAGAGGGCACACAGAGCATGCACCACGAGCATGCACCATGGCAGAGCTCGCAGCAGGATGCAGAGGGCACACAGGGCATGCCCCATGAGTAGGACGGTGCATGGCAGCGCTTGCAGCAGGACGCAGAGGGCACACAGGGCATGCCCCATGAGCAGGATGGTGCAGGGCAGAGCTCGCAGCAGGACGCAGGCAGCAGCTGGGACCCATCACGCGCCGCGAGCAGGACACGCGCTGCAGGACACGCGCTGCAGGCGGCCCGGGCCGCAGCGCTGGTACCTACCGCAGGGCGCCGTGGCGGGCGGCGCGGGCCAGGCTGCTGGCGAGCGGCGCGGGCAGGGTCCCGGGGGGCTGCAGATCCTCTATGGACCTGCTCCAGGCTCGGGGCTTCTCGAGGCCGCCGTCCTCGGCGCCATCGGGGCCCTCGAAGTCGAAGCTGGCGGGGAAGCGCGTGGCGTGGGCGCGGGCCCGCGGCAGCGGCAGCGGGCGCGCGCGGCGGGCACTCACGTCACGGCGCACTGGGCGAAGGACAGGTAGTTCACGAGCACGTCCAGGCCCCGGTTGTCGGCGTTGAGGAACTCGCGCACCCACCTGCGGGTGTCGGCACCGGGAGGGGCATCAGCATCGGGGCACCCATGGGTCCCCTGGTGCCCGTGTCCCCCCAGAGTCCCCCTGCTCCATCCCCATGGGAGGTGGTCGGGGTCCTGCTGGGGTCTGCCGTGATGGTGCTGCATGTGTATGCCAGGGACGCCTGTGCCAGGGATGCAGGGAAAGGGGATATAGATGCCCGGGATGCATGTGCTGGCACGCATGGGAATGGGATGCATGGGAACGGGATGTATGTGCCTGGATACCTGTGCCTGGGATGCACGTGCCGGGATGCTTGGGGATGGGAAGCATGGGAATGGGATACATGGGAATGGGATGCATGTGCCAGGATGGTTGGGAACGAAATGAATGGGCATGGGGTGTATGTGCCAGGATGCATGTGCCAGGATGCTTGGGAACAAGCCAAATGGGCATGGGATGTATGTGCCAGGATGCTTGGGAATGGGATACACGGGCATGGGATGTATGCGGCAGGATGCATGTGCCTGGGATGCATGAGCTGGGATGCTTGGGAATAGGATGTGTGTGCCAGGATGCACTGGAATGCGATGTACGTGCCCAGGATGCCTGGAAATGGGATGCATGTGCCCTGGATGCATGCACATGCCCTGCATGCATGCACACAGGGCAGAGGGCCATGCAGCACGCACGGGACGTGCATGCAAAAGGCGAGGGCCAGCGCGCACGGCACAAGGAGCGGGGCTGCCCGCCCGTGCCCGGGCTCTGCGCGAGGGGGCGAAGGGGCCGCGGGGGGCGACGGGGCAGCGGGGGGCTGCACGTGCCCGGGCTGCTGCTGCTGCTGCTGCCCCGGGGGCCGTGGGAGCCCGGGCGCGCGTCACCGCGGGCGCAGCTGGAGCGCGCCGGCGGCCGCCCATTTCCTGCCTGCTCCCGGCCCGTTTCCTGCCACCGCTCCCGGCTATTTTGAGGCCGGGAAGAGGCAAATCTCGGCGCTGCTCCGGGGCCAGTGGTGGGGGCCCTGCGGAGCAGCCTGGAGAGGGGGCACAGCGGGACGGGGGACACGAGGGAGCCAAACGGGCCGCGTCTGCCACCCTGTCCCCAAGCGGGATCCAGGTGCTGGGAGGGCAGTGAGGGCAGGAACTGGTGCAGGTCCTGTGGGCACCGCTGCTTTTCCTGCAGCTGGACCAGGCGCTGCGGGCACCGAGCTGGGCACGGAGCTGGACACCAAGCTGGGCATGGAGCTGGGCACGGAGCTGGGCACGGAGCTGGGCACGGAGCTGGGCACGGAGTCGGGCACGGAGCTGGACACCAGGCTGGGCATGGAGCTGGGCATGGAACTGGGCACGGAACTGGGCACGGAGATGGGCACAGAGCTAGGCACGGAGCTGGGCACAGAGCTGGGCACCGGGCTGGGCACGGAGCCGGACATGAGCTGGGCACCGAGCTGGGCACGGAACCGGGCATGGAGCCGGGCACGGAGCTGGGCACGGAGCTGGGCACGGAGCTGGGCACCAGGCCGGGCACAGAGCTGGGCACCGGGCCGGACACGGGCCCCGCGCTCACCCGATGTGGTTCGTCCGCAGGCTGATCTCCAGCTCGCGCAGCACCTTGGTCGACTCTTGCACCCTCCGCCTGAACTTCTGTGGGCAGAGAGTGCCCTGAGCGCCACCGTCACTCGCCCCCATCTTGGTCCCCATCTCTCATCCTTGGCCCCATCCCTGCTCCTTGGCCCCATCCCGGTCCTTGGCCCCGTCTTCGTCCCACCTTCCGTGTGACGCTGGGGTCCAGGAAGCTCTGCAGCTTTTGGATGTAGGCATGAGGGGGGCTTTTCACCTGGAACCGCTCCTGGCGGGGGCAGAGACGGGGGGCAGCTGGTGGCGCTGGCACCCATGGGACCACCATGGGCCCCCTCCATGTGCCCTCATCCCCACCTGGTCGCAGATGAGGTCCCACTTCTTCTCGTTGTCGTACTGGCGCAGCAGCCGGGCCTTGTCCGGGGGCAGGTTCATGGAGCTCTGGGGGGGTTGGAGGGGCAGGATGCAGCCCGGGGCGGCCCCCCCACAGGGGGGGATGCCCGCGGAGGGTGGGGGGCGATGGGGACACCCCACGCTCCGATCCAGGGGGGTGCTTTTCCAGGCCGGCGGTGGGAGCCAGCTGGACGCCGTGGGCAGAGAGGTGCTGGCGGCTAAAATTATCCCAGTTCCGGGAGCGGCGGGAAAGGCGCTGGGAGGGGAGCGGGGTGCAGAGCCCGGAGCGGGGCTGCGGGTGCCCCCACCCTACATGTCACCCCCCCCCCCCATCTATGCGCCTGTGCCCCCCCGGTGGCTCCGGGCCCGGCGTTCCCGTGGCTCCGCTTCCTGCCTTTGTGGCCGCTCCCGGCCCGGCGCTTCCTTCGTTCGGAGCCCACTCGGTCCCGGATGGGACCCCGGGGCTTTGTGGACAGCTCCGGGCCGGGGCGGCGGGAGGGCATCGAGCGGGACCACCGTTTCTCTCCTGGAATCGTGCTCCCGGCTGTGCCCTGACACCCTCCAAGCCGTCGGAAAGCACTCGGTTTCCTGGGAAAACGGCCCGGGGAGGCTCCCGGTGGGCCCGCATTCCCGGCCGTCCCATCTCATCCCACGCCGGATATTTTCCTTGCCGGCAGGATGCGAAGGGGCAGCGGCCGCGGGAGCCGCCGGGACGCGGGAAGGGGCCGCGCGTGTCCCCCGGGGCGGCGGCGGGGGCCGCTCCGTCGGGGCAGGAGGAGGACGGAGCCAAACAAAGCGGGAGCGGCGGCGAGAGCGGGACAGAGCCCCGGCCCCAGAGCCGACGGGACCCCCCACCACTCCCGCGGGGAAGGAGGCGGCCCGACGCCGCGGTGCCGGGCGCGGGGGCATGTCCGGGGCCGGGCTTCCCCCGGGGCCGCCCCGAGCCGCGGCGCCCACCCCCGCGGCGCTCGCCGTCCCTGCGGGACCCTCCGCCGGAACGAGGGAGGAGAGCGGCGGGGACGGGAGGCGGCGGCGGGTCCCGGCCGGGGGCGCACGGGAGGGGACGCACGCCGTTGCGCGGAGTTCGGGACGGCCGGGCGGGACGGCGACGATGCCGCGGCGGGACCCGACGGCGACGCCCCCCCGTCCGCTCCCCCCGGAGCCCCGTGGCCCCGGCGGAGGCGGCGTCCGTGTCTCACCAGCACCAGGGCGAACCGCTCCTCCAGCTCGCACGGCTCCGGCATCGGCATCTTGCCCGGGGCGAGCAGCCCGGGCCCCGCCGGGGCGGCCGCTGGCGAGCCCCGGGGCAGCGCCTCCCCGTCCGCGCTCTCCACGTTCCCCATCCCCGGCCCAGGCACCCGGGGGGCGGCGGGGGAGGCGCAGCCCGTCGCGTCCGGCCGCCGCCGTCGCCTCCCC